AAATAAATAAAACTTTGAATACAGTTGTTCTCCTTCTGGATAAACTCCAAGAACTAACTCGCCTAAACCAGTATACACTAGATCTATCGGGACTAGGAGATATAAGAGTAAGATTGAGATTGGTATTAGACCAAGAACTTGCACGAATCTGTCCGGCCGAAAATAAGATAGCGTGACGAACAGACGGTGTAACTTATCTGAAATTACTCTATGAGTACAGAACCTCGGTCATAACTCACATTCAAACCTTAGTTGGCGAATTCTGAACTTAATTAAAACGCGCGTTGATTGTTTTCCTTGACCTGTAGCTGAAAGGGGGTGAACGTTATTGGAAGTTACACTTCTTTCCCATGTTTAACGGCTGAGTCAACTTTATTCGGGTAAAGCCGTTACGTTCTGAAAAAAGTCAATTTTTGTTGAATACACTGTTGTCTAGAAAGATCATCCGTTATTCCGACAAATATAAAAACTGTAATGGAGAATTTGTTGAATAGATCTGAAGTCAGTTAGCTTAATATACGTTTTGAAAAAAGTCATTTTTTGTTGAATACGTGTCAGTTATCGCGATGTCATATTTCAAATCTCAATGAAGCTTAGACATGCAGACAGTGCACAAATAGCAGAAATAGGAAGGATAGTGGGAAAGCAATTCGGCAGACGAAGTCAATAGTCCCAGCCAATCGAGTCTGAGAGGATCCCCGGCTGTCGTCTTCTCCGTCTTCCCGCTTGGCAGCTCTTTGAGCGATCCACAAGACTACAAGGAATTCCACAACCACCAGTGCTATGAAGAAGAAGCATAGAAGATAAAACAGATGCAACATTGTAACATGGTTGATCTTGTTGAGGCTCATCTGGAAATTCAAAAACGAAAGAAGAAGCGCGAGAGATGAGATCAAGACGACCAGGCTTCGTCCAGTCACGTGATGTGTGTCGATCCAGAAACTAAGCCACGAAAGTGCTATGATGAGGATGCCGGGAAAATAGTAACGCAACACATTGTCCAATGCCACTCGTTTGAAGTAGAATTCAACCTGCAAACATAGCGACGATTAAATTTTAAAATATCAAGACAGTTTATCGCTTTAGCATGATTGAAAACTCCAGGCGGATATTGTTGAACAGTTTTTATACTTTTAAACGAATGAGTTACCCGGGTTGTTGTTCATAGAAGAAAAATGTTTATCATACTGTTTCATACATGAAGTCTATGGAAAAAATGCTTATCATGCAGAAACTAAAGTGTTTTAAAAAAATTTTATTGATTATTTTTGGTCTATTTGCCTCTTTTGAAGCTTTCTGGTTGATAAAAAATAAATAAGTTTTGTGTGAAAATTATAAGATAATCATTTTATCTTAGAAAAAATAAAACTTTCAAAAATCTTCGAAAAACGGGTCTGGTTAACTTTAAATAAATTTAAATAATTGGATCCTATCAACTATTTTCCCCTTTATGGTACCTTGTAACGAATCCCCCCCCCTAGAAAGAAAGAATTGAACGGTCAAGCATATACGAAACTTGTACCTTGTTAACTATTCCCCTCCCTTATTGCAATATGGGGAAATAGTTAACAAGATCCAAATAACTATTTCTAAGATACAGAGCGTTTTGACAATTAAAAACATAATTTTAGTTTCGGTCGGAATAAAAGCTTATCATATAATTTTGAAATATGAAAATTGTATGATATGCATTTTTTCATAAACAAAAACACAAATTTGAGGCGAAAAGTTTTATATAAACTTTTGGTTCCAATTTTTTTTTGTTGTATAAATATGAAACTTACGAAAAAAAGTTTTTCATTCAAAATTTGACTTTTTGTGTTTATAACATGTTCCAGGATGAGTTTTTCACCCATAAAATCCATAATTCATAAAAAGTGTTTTTTTTCGTAAACACGATTATTAGTTTTTTTGTTTCATTTGCTAAGATAAAATAAATTTGTAAAAAACAGGCCTTTTTTCTCAACCACCAAAATTATTCAATTAAAAATTATCTAGCCATACATATAAAGTTAAGTTTTGGTATATAAGTCCAAGTAAAAATATTTAAATTGACTTCTATGGCTAAAAAATGCAGAATATCAGCGTGGTAACTGCCGGTTACACTCTGGTTTTTCTGAAGACAAAAAAAAACTTTGATTAAGGTTTCGAATGTAACACAAAATTTGAAAACATGTTCCGCAGCAATGCTACAATTTTTTGATCTTCTTTGCTGTTTTGGATTCCACAAACAAGTGCTTAAAAAATTGTACCGTTCAAAAATGCTCCAAAAATAGGCAAATTTGCAGAATCCGCAACTGTATTTTCGGAATCGGGAACAGTTTATGGAATCCACATACAAATAATAGGAAGTGTATAGTTACATTCACCTGTTGCGGAATCCGCAACTGTAAGCGCAATCCGCAAGTTGTAAGTGGAAACCGCAAATTGTAAGTGAGAACCGCAAATTGTCAGTGGATTCCGCAAATTGTAAGCGGAATCCGCAAGCTGGAAGTGGACTCCGCAAATTGTAAGTGGAATCCGCAAATTGTAAGTGCATTCCGCAAATTGTATGTGGAATCCGCATTTTGCTTGCGGATTTCACTTAAATTTGCGAATTCCACTTACATTTTGCGGATTCCACTTACATTTTGCGGAATCCACTTACAATTGCGGAATCCAGAACAACTAGCTATATTTGCTTGTTGCGGAAACCATCGTTACAGCTGCTTGTACGCGGAAATCACGAAACTGTTGTACGTGGAATCCATGAACATACAGACAAAATTGTGCGCCTTTCCAGTGCAAAGTTTGGCCTCGTAATGTTTGTAATTTCATTTATGGCAAAAATTCTTGTCATAAAGTTTCATAGTACGAAAAAATGTTTATCAAACAATTTCATAGTACGGAAAAAGTGCTTAATCTGCTAATTTCATACACGTACTTCTGCTCAACGAAATTGTCTGAAAGAGTATGATGAGCAGTTTTTTTTCATATATGAAAATGTTTGACAAGCATTTTTTGTCAACCCGGGTACTTATCAATTGAAAGCTTCGACTTGTGAAAACGCAAATCTTGTGGCTCACTGATTCATGAAAATCAAAAGGTTTGTCTTAAAATCATTGACCTGTCGTCTTAATTATCAAACCCGGCCGCTATATATGAGGCTTCATTCATTTTGATTTAATTTCCTTTTATCAATCCCCATTTTACTGATTGGCAAATAGTCGACAAAAAGTTGGAGAAAAAACATATTCGAGACTAATAAAACAAAGTTTGGACGTTAAAAAATGTCTGCAAAATTGGCTTTTTCGACATGAAGTTAAAAAAATGTTTCATAAAACAATACTTCAAAAACACCATGAGAAAAAAAAACCTATTCCAGGTCAAAATAATCATTATGATTAATTGGCAAAACAAACAAAAAAAAATTAAAAAAAAAAGCATCTTTGAGATGGACAAATTCTAAGCTGTGACATGTGAAAATCAAATTTGTTGTTTTAAAATAAGCCCGTGCAAAATTTTTAGTGACACAATAATTACAGATCAGAGATCATAAAAATCAAATTCGTTTAACATCCCATGATTGGGGGCTAGTAAAATAGGGGACATTTTAACATCTTAGAAAACAGGAGTTTAGATGATAACTTTTCCTTGAAAAACTGACATTTACTTCTACGATCTAGTCACACCAAAAACAAAAAATTAGCAAACTCAAAAATGATCATAAAAGTTTTCAAAATTGTTTTCATACAGTTTTAAATTCAAATGGTTCAATGCATTTTTGGAACTCATGAATTATTTAGCTGTGATATGTACTGATCTTATGTGCATTTAAGAATACTCAAACTAATTTTTTTTGGAGTCTGTAAACAGTTTTCATCCAATTCTCGTAGTTCAACGAAAGCGAAGTTCTAACCTCCGTTTTTGTTAGTATCGTCCAATTTTCATGTCGTCTTTTTTTCTAGGTTGTAGTTTCGGCATTCAAAACTAGACACCAAGCATTTTACTTTAGGTTTTTTTTTCGGGTCGAAAACTTGACGACAATCTAATTTGACGTAAATAATAGAATGGAGTTTAGACGAAATTGCAGAATAACAATAATGAGAATTGCGTGAAAATGTTCTCAGACCTCCGTTAAATTTTGTTTTCAGGTTTTCTAAATATAATTAAATTTACCACACGTCATATCTGTATAATTTACGCCTTGATGCAGCTTAATAGTTACAATTAAAAATTTTAACATCTTTTTGAAATGAAAACATCGTCTTGTTTTAAAGTTTAAGTATTTTTTGCACAAGGGTGACCTCGTTTTCAAAAACTTTAGTTTCGAAACAAAACCTCATCGTCTAAATTCTGTTTCATTGAGACTGCCTAGCATGTTATGACGTTAGTTTTTACGAGTTTATATTTAATTTTCGTTCAATTTACGTGTAGTGAGCTCTGTTCTACTAACTAGTAACTAATACACAAGCAATCAGACGACACTAAAAACCTTGAATTATATGGTTATTTTTATTTGAGCAAAACTAGAATTCTGACAATAATCAGTGTTGACCAAAAATGGTAATCATGCAATTTTCATATATCGAAAAAAGCTAATCGTACACATTTCGTCCAATTCCATAAGTACAGAAAATAGCATGAAAGGTCTATGATTAGCGTTTTTTTTTCGTATACGAAAAGTGTATGACCAGCATTTTCCCATGAATCAATAAAAAAAAATTTTTTTTAAAGTTTATTTCCTAAAAAGTTGAGATGTGTTCGTGACCGCACACAAGTGAAAAAAACTATTCTTTTCTCAAAGCTAGAGTCACCAAAGGCATGATCGTTTTGCATTTACAACGCATTGGAAACTACCAGATTTGTGTAAAGGTTCTCTTCAAAATCCATGTACTTAAAGCATCAAGCTTTTATTTTTGGCAAAAATTTTCACAGATTATTTTTTTAAATTCGAATTTTAAAATACACACACTATGATCAGTGCATACATAAACATGCCATGCAAAAGAAATTGAAGTTTTCACACCATTTGAAAAAATTATCCAGAGAAACGGAAAAAAAACAGTTTTTTCTTTATCCAGTATTATGTTATGCAGACAAAAATAATTAATGTTTTACTGAAAAACATTTGTTTGATTTGCGGTTGAAAACAAAAAACATAAAAAATTGGGCAATTTCAGTCTTATTATGGAAAATGTATGAGTAGCTTCTTTGACAACTTTCTGTACGAAACACCTACTTTTATACCAAAACGAGAAAAAAATTCTCTGAAAAATCGATGACCACATTTTAGCAAAATGCATGAAATTTGTGAGAATAGTATTTTTTCATAGACTTAGATTATGAAACTGTATGATTAGCCTTTTTGGTTTTTGGAGGTCAACCCGCAAAGTAAGGGGCAAGCAAAGTTTTTCAAGGGGCTTAAAACTCTGGTTGACAAGATTAAAAAGAAACTATAATCCAACCGAAAATTTGTTAAAATCTATTTAAAACTGTAATTAAAATTTATAAAAAAAAATTTTAAAACAAAATTACGGAAAATACGACTTTTAATTAGAAAGTTTAATTTGCTTGTAATAAAATTGATGTAAAGTGGAGTTTTGATGTGTAATCAAACTTCAGACCCGATTACAAACCGGGTTGACCAAAAATCATTAATTTAGAGTTTTTCTTGCAAGAATATGATTAATTCTTGGAAAATTAGGCTCTAAGAATGTTACAAGATAAAGAACTGTTTTATAGGAAAATTGTTAGATAGTGAATTTTCTTACAAGTAAGTTGTAAGATGAGAGCTTTTCCTACAAACTTTGTTTGTTTTTTTTTTAAATTTCCTTACAACCAGTTTAAAAACGCCCCAACTGTCGCTGAGTTTAATAACCGAAACTCGTAGGTCGAACGACACGTTTTGCTACTTGAGATTTCAGAAAAACCCACTTACTTTACAATGTTAGTTTTTTTCTGACTTTTGCAAAATTTGTCGATCTTTACCTGAATTACTTACACAACACGCCGGAAGTAATATGACATAATTTTTCAAAGTTAGTTTTTTATTTATGATCTCCAAACCAAAATTTGAATCGCTTATTACATGTAGTTAGGAGATTTATTGAAAAAAATTCTTATTTTGGAGTTTTTAGTTCGAAATGTACATATAACCACCACTCTCTAAAATTTGTATGCATTTTTTACTCACTTGCAAATCATCAAAACTTCCGGTGACAAAATGCAGACTGTAGAAAGTCTGAGAGGGTTTTGAAACATAAAATTTAGCTCCCCTAGACGCTGAATGGCTCACAGTCACCTCACCTAGCCATCGCAATTGCATTTGATCATTGGTGTAGCCAAAGGACTCCATGATCAAAGGGCACTCCTAAAGCACATGCAGACGTGTTGCGAGCTTGCCAACAGTTGGTAGGTCTTAATACGAAATTTAGAGCCAGTTATCGCCGCAAAGTGGCGACTCGCGCCCAGCGCACCCACCGGCGACCTTAAACCGGAATGTTTTGTATTGGATTGTTGCTTTTGTGCTAAAATAAAAATTTTACGATAAAAAATTTGCATGCAAAATTTGACTATCTGTGTTTATACATTAGTCCAGGATGAGTTCATTACCCAAAAAATCTAAAAATCATAAGAGAGTATTTTATCTGTAAACACGATTATCATCTTGTTTCATTTGCTAAGACTAAAATAAATTTGTTTAAAATCAGGCTGTTTTTTTCTCAACCACAAAAAATTTTTAAACTAAAATCTATCAAGCCATATTCAAAAAGTTACTTTTTTGGCATATAATTCCGCGTGAAAAAAATTAAATTTACTTTAATGGCGAAAATCACCAAAGGCAGTTTATCTGCGTAGTAACTGCCAGTTAAACTCTGGAATTTCTATGACAAAAAATTCAGGAATAGTGTTTCGGTTGAAACACAAAATTTCGAAACAAAAGTTTTTCTATTTTCTTTTATGGAAAAAATGTTTATCATACAATTTCATATTATGGAAAAAAGCTTTTAATAAAATTTCATATTATGGAAAAAACGCTTGTTTTGCTATTTTCATACACTTCATTTTGCTCTTTTTTCATATATGACAACTGTATGAAAAGCATTTTTTGATAACCCGGGGAGCCAGATGAAAATTAACTTTAAATGTTTTTTTTAAATTTAACTCAAAAATTTTATGAGATGGAACTGGACAAAACACCGAGCCGGTGATAGAAAGTTTTCAGATAGACAGAATGAAATTATCAAATCTATCAAATTTATTTGTTAATACTGATAGAAATTTTATAGTACCCACAATGTCAGAGTTTTTTGTGGGTGAAATGGTTCTTTTTACTGTAACTCCCTATCATTTTAATTTCAATTTTTAAGTATATTTTAACCTGTCAAAAAGCACTAAAGTGAACAAATTTTGGTCTAAGCTAATTGAGTTTATGTGCATTACAGCCCCATTCTTCGGCCGTAATTTTGAATTTAAACTTTTCGGAGAATCAAGTATTGCAAAAAAATTCTTGAAATTTGCTTTTTGAAGCTTTTGAAAGTGTCTTAGGGCAATTCTAGAGAAAAAGTATGACGAAAATATTCAAAAAAGGAAAAAAATTTCCCTGCACCCAACATAAAATGAATAAAAAATTAGAATTTGCACCAACTACCACCTTTTATTGTCAATCAAAAATCTTAAGCTGTTGAACAAAATTGTATTGTTTCTATAGTTGATTACAGCGAATTTTCTTTCAGTTTTTGTTAATGAAAAGGATCGAAGACTTTTATTTGCAAGCAAAAGATCTATTACGAGGAGGAAAAAATCTTATTTTAAAAAAATTTGGTGGCGTAGAAAATTTAACGCAGCGTTCTGATAATACACTAAAAGGAACTTACTTTGGGTCAACTTAAAATTGCCTTTCCTTACCACTCCAACTTAAAATAAAACCCGATAAAATATTACAATTATAAAGTAGTTAAATAATAAAAACTTGAATCTTCAATTGAGAAAAGTCAAGATTATGCGAACTTCAAAATGTCCATTTAAAATCTGCTATTATCAGTTTTAGTTTGTTCTGGTTTTCTGCAACTTCTCTGCAGATACTTTTGCCAATCTTTCTTTTATTTTTTCAATTCATAGCCAATGCTTTGCAGATCCTCTTGCAAAAATGTAGCTTCTGGCTAATTGTGGGTGGTATATATTTGCTCAGTTTCAGTTTTGCCCATAATCTGTGTCGCCCATAGTCTCAATTTCCATAGCTTATCGACATACAAAAATAATCTTCTGTCATATTTGATGTTGCCTAAGGACACAAATGAATATGGTATTTGACTTTTCAAATAAGAAACTAAATATAAAATATGAACCAAATAAATGGGTAAACCAATCGCTCACAGAGCCGTTTATAAAACCACAGGTGAAATTTCTATTTTTTGAAAAATTAACTCATCAATCTCCAGAATGAAAAACATTTGTTTCGGACATGAATGATAAATTCACGGTTTGCTGAATGGCTGAATACTTCAAAATGCTTCACAAGTAAAATTATCAGAATGAATATTGGTTAAAACTGAAAATAATGTCGCAAAAATTATCTCATCAATTGGTCTTTAAAGTAATTAAATTTGACAGATCGAATCATTTCAATATAAATCGTTTTTGCTAACCTGTGTGTCGAAAGGATAGCTGTGGAAAGAAAGTGGACATCTGGAAACTACTTTTAGATTTCGCGAGAGTTTCACTTCTCCTTCTGAGTTGAGTCGAACGAATTGGGCCGAGTCAATCTTCGTCACTGATTTCGACTCGGGGAAGTACAGATCTAAAATGGGAAAATATTATCATCAGAGTTGGTGAGAACTATAGGTTGTGTTCGTTTCTCTAACTACCATTACTGTTATCTTCATTACAGTTTTCATCAATTATACTGCCCGCAGAGAATTAACATGGATAATAATCGATTATAGTGGATTTACATGGTCGGTCTCCTTGAAATACGAAAATAATCGATTATAATGGATTGAAAATCAATTAAAAACAAACAAAGTAGATATCATTTCAATTAATTATAATGGATTATATTGGATTATAATGAAATATAATTGATTTAAATTTAACAGAAAATAATGGATTAATTTAGATTTTTTGAAACAGTGCCGCGATTTTCCAAAACCGTGAAAGCAAATATTCAAAGTTTGAGCACAGCAGTCGCTAAATTATGTTTTACATTTGGCTACAACAAAAAGATGTAGTGTTTTCTACTTGTCTTTTTCTAACTGTATCTCTCTCTCCCTAAGTTACTCTCACTAACTCCTAACGTTTTACACTTCCTTCAGTTACCAAAACCATTCCCCCATTTACCCATTACTCGCCTTTACCGTAAAATTACGTGAAAGTTACCGTAAATGCGTGCCCCTAACCCCTCCCATAAAGCGTAAAGAGCGCCCACATACAGTTACAATTCGTCCCCCACCCTTTAGATCTCTCCCCCCCCCAAAAAAAAATTATGGGGAGTCAACTATGTGTGTTTTGAAAGGTTGGGTTGGGTGAGGGGGGTAGGTTGGGTGGAGTAGGTGGGGGAGGGGCAGGGGCGGATTTAGGGGGGGGGCGGGGAGGGCGGACGCCCCCCCCTCAGGGATTTGACCCCTTGCCGACCCAAAGGGTCCCCCCTCTGATACTTTTTCAGAAATCCATTTTTGGCTGACCGACCCTAAAATTTTTCTAAAGGCGCCTTCGGCGCCAATAAATGCTATTTTTGAGGGGGAGCGCGCGCCAAAAAAACGCATTTTTTTTGTCAAAATTTTTCAAAAAGTGCCCAAAAACGGCTTTTTTTGACTGTTTTTTCAAAAATTTGCCTGCGGCGCAGAAAATTTTGCCAAAATAAGGGCAAAACAGTGCTTTAGGAGAGCGCGAAAAATAAAAATCAATTTGGTCGACCTAAAAAAAAAAAAAAAGGTCGTCAAAATTTTGGAAAAGTTTTTGAAAATCCGCCCCCCCCTCGAGAAAATCCTAGATCCGCCCCTGGGGAGGGGGTAAATGTGATGTGTTGATAAATGCGGATGGGTGTAAATTTTGAGGGTTAAAATTGAGAAGACCTGGGTTTAATCTTTGAGGGATGTATTTGCAAAAATTAATTAAACGTGAGTACCCGCACTGACAGAAATAGTTTCCGGTCGATTTAAATTGATTTTAAATCGATTTTAAAACGATCCAAATCGATTAACCATGTACATATTACGAACTTAAATGGATTTTAAATCGATTTAAATCGATCTTTTTGAAAATTTGAAATCGATTGAAGTGTCTAAAAAATCAATTCAAATCGATTTTGATGGATTTTCCGACTCACTAAAATCCATCCGAATCTCACTTAAATCTATCAGAATCTCACTTAAATACATTTTAAATTGATTTAAATCGATCTTTTTGAAACCTTTAAAACAATTTAAGTGTCTAAAAATTCGATTTAAATCGATTTCGATGGATTTTTCGACACACTAAAATAGATTTTTTTTTGCTAACAAGGCGAAAAAAACAAACCCTTTGAAAAATTGTTGAAAATTTTTATTCTCGATTATTAAATGTAAACACTCGTGCCAGATGTTATAGAATTCAATAAAATTATCCACATAAATCAGTTGATTTTAAATCGATTCGGGTCAATTTTTTTAGCTGAGATTTGAGGTCAATTTAAATCGATTTTAAACCGATTCAAATCAGTTTTCATCTTTTTTGTTTTATCTTCGTACTTTTTTCATACTAAAATCGATCTAAAATTGATCAACTCTCTTTTTTATTACTAAAATTGATCTAAACTCAATCAGCGCACTTTTTTCATACTAAAATCGATCCTAATCCATTTTTGTCAGTGCGGGTAGGTACAAGTTCGAATAGGCTACACAATGCAGCTGCACATTTTTCACTAAAACGATTGGTTGGTTCCAAAGTGCATACTTGATTTTAATGCCATCAAATTTGATCATGAAAATCGATTTTAATCAATTATTGTTCTCGGAACCTCACTGTGGATAACATTTTCAAGTTTTTTTGTCAACTTCTGTTCAACATTTGCAACGACACCAAACAACTGGTGACTTACTTCCTGTTTGACTTTGGTGACTATCCTAGATACTTCGATTTAGGTCCAGATTCGGCTTCAAAAATTTTAACTTGGGGTTTCTTATTTAATTTAGGCGGAGATTAATTGTTAATTATAAATTCGATAAAAAAGTACTAATTATCGAAATTGAAATGCAATTGTGTTTTACATATTTGGCTATAGCGAAAAATTGTTTTTTTTTGTCTCCGCCATCCCCTAAATAATTACAAGAACTACCATCAATCTTACCACACTTCATTCTTTTACCACCACCTACCACTCCCCCCCCCCCCCCCCCCATTTGCTCTGACTTATAAAAACCGTAAAAAATATGCAAAAAATACCTTAAATGCGTGCCACCTAGCCCCTCCTAACCCAAACACACGTTTAACCCCCATCTCTCTCATCCTCTCACAAACCTTTGAGGCGATCAAACTTACAGGGGCTGCAATTAGTAGTGGTGGGGGGAGGGTAGGTATTGTGTGGAGGTAGGTGAGCGGATAAATGTGTGGATTTTTTTTGGGGGGGGGGGGGGTTGGGGGATGTGGGTGGTGGTTTTATTTTTGTATTTTTGGGCGTGTTCAACTTAGGTTTTAAAATTGAGAATACCCGGGTTTAAAATGTGATAGATGTGGTTTTGCAAACTTCAATTAAAAGTGAGTAGGTTGTGAGTAATGCAGGAAAGCTGCAAATGTTGCAGTAAAATTGGAAGCAATTTTTATAGATTATAATCCATTATAATGTAATTTAATTGGAATAAAATCGGTTTAACTTCTCTAAACAATGAACTACAATAGATTAGAATCGATTGCGTGGTCCCAATTTATAATCGATTTTAATTTGTTATCGATTATAATGGAACGGCATCTTTTTTGAATGTAAACTCACTGCGGGCCACAATAAAGTTCATTTTAGCATTAACTTTAAAAAGACGTAGTGATAATTTAAAATATAACCTGGGGTCCAAATATTGTCAGCAAAACTTTGACTTGTGATTTGAATTTGACCCAAGTCACTCGACACTTTCAGTCTCTCGTCTGTCCATTTTAGCCGCAAAGTGAATTCGGATTCCATCTCCATTGTTTCAGTGAGCAAATCAACACGTTCGAGATGTAATGACACATTGACTTCGACCGGCTCGCCTCCGAAGTCGGGTCTGAGTCTCTTGTCGTAGTTGTTCAGGATATTGTCGAGCTCTTCGCTCGTTTTAGTATACTTCGTATCGCATTTCGCCAGTGTGACAATCAAAACAACAGTGGCTATATATTTTGTTATTGCACCAAATAACAATTGGTTTTTGTCCATGATGATGATGATTCCTTAGCTGAATAAAACGACAATTTTAATGAGCTTCTGCAGGGGCGGATCTGGGAATTTCTCGAAGACGGGGGGAAGGGATGGACTGTAGCGGATTTTTGAACATTTTCGAAAAGTTTCGAAGTTTTTTAAGTTGACTAAATTGATTGTCTGAGCTCTTCCAAATTACTTTAGAGGATTCTGTTTAATAAAACGCTTTCCCCCTAAAAATTGTTATCTATTGACACCAAAGGCGCTTTTAGAAAAAATTTTGGGCCGGTCAGCCAAAAACGAAAACAACTTAAAAGAATATCAAATGGGTGACCCTTTGGTTGGTAGGGGGTCGATTTCCTGAAGGGCCGGGCAGGGGGATCGCCCTTCCCCCTAAATCAAGCACTCCCTCTAAATCCGCCCCTGAGCTTCTGCAAAATAATAAATGTACGGTTATTGAACCTTTTTGACCCCAAAAAATTAATAAATCGGCAAATTATTTGTTCAATATAAAATCGACGATATAATATTTGGGTCTAGGACAACAAGCCGACGGGACTTCAAGCCGAAGGGACTTGAGGCCGAAATTTAAACTTTACAAGCACCTCAAATCACTATTTTTTTTATCTGTAAAACGTTGCTTTTCAAAAATTTAGGCAGGTTTAGTCCATAATAAGCGTTATTCATGACAATGCACCACTTCTGATTGATATCCGTTAATAACATCAGCCGGTTTTTGAAATGCATAAATTATAAACATGAAAAATGCCTTCAACCATGTTTCATTTTTAATCTTTCCGAAACATCAATTGGAGGCTTACATTTTTTGAAAACGCCAATAACTAGTAAAGAAAGATCATGAAATTCAGAAATTCTTCAAAAAAAGTTTTCAAATTAATCATATTTCACGACTTTATAAGCAACTATTCGGCTTGAAGTCCCTAATTTTACGATTCGGCTTGAAGTCCCATCGGCTTGATGTCCGGCACCCAAAATATTTGACGTTCTAAATAGTTTGAAGTGTTGAATTCAGTACACGCAGATCTTCAGATTAATTCAGTATTTCACTTCAGAACGAGACAAGAATATGTCTTTTCTGTTAGACGATAAAATAGTTGACAACATACGATAATATATTTCAGGTTCTTTAGAGTTTGAAGTTCAATTCAGTACAAGCAGATCGTCAAATTAATCGGGTATTTCACTTCAGAATAAGACAGGAATATGTCTTTTCTGTTATACGGCCCAAAATGGATCGTAACATTATTTGGAAAAACTGACCATAATGCTCGAAGCTGATTATGGTTGAAATTATTTTGAGCGAAAAGTAATCTTGATTTTGTTTTAGAAAACTAGAAGTTCTAATAACAATTTGATAGTTTTGGGCCGTACAGGAGTGAGAAAAAAAACCGACAAGACACGCACACTGCGCTCCAGGCAAAACTTAAAGTGTGCGGTCTAAGCAAGATAACACAGTCGCAATTGGAATTAGAACCTTTCCTGGGCCTGGATTGGTCTGGAAATATGGGTGCCGGACATCAAGCCGACGGGACTTCAAGCCGAATCGTAAAATTAGGGACTTCAAGCCGAAAATTCTCTCTCCAAGTCATGAAATATGATTAATTTGAAAATTTTTTCGAAGAATTTCTCAATTTCATGATCTTTATTCGGTAATTATTAGCGTTTTCATTAAATTTAAGCCTCCAAATGATGTTTAGGAAAGTTGAAAAATAAAACACGGTTGAAGGTAATTTTCTTGTCTATAATTTATGCATTTCAAAAACAGGCTGATATTATTAACGGATGCCAATCCCAAGTGATTCATTGTCATAAATAACGCTTATTATGGAGTAAAATAGCCTATGATTTTGACAAGCAACGTTTTACAGATGAAAAAATAATGATTTGAGGTGCTTGCAAAGTTTAAATTTCGGCCTGAAGTCCCTTCGGCTTGAAGTCCCTTCGGCTTGTTGTCCTAGACCCTGGAAATAAATAGCTATTTATTCGCCGATTTGTTCTACTATATAGCTTGTTCTACTAAACATTGTTTTATATCGCCGCGCTGGTTAAAATAGGTCCTTTTTGCGCAGGTATGTATTGTTAAAGGCAGTTGGAAAGAGACTTGATAGAGGTGAAAATGTTGCAAACTCAAATTGGGGTTGCTGCAAACTGCTATATTAGATTTTACCCAGCAATCGAAATGCAACTGCTGCTGAATTTAATCCCAACCGAAATGAGGGAAATATTAAAGCCACCAAAAACTGCAATTCTGAATTGAACTGCAATTCTAAGGCTATTGCGCATATGAAATAGAGGTTATAGTCCGTACGAAAATACTTTTTGCGAACTTTGGTAATCCTGAATTTGGTAACCTTGCGGGTCAGAATTTCAGTTCAAACTGTCATACTGTTCAATTCTTTTGAAGCACCAACTATCCGTTTTCTAACATATAAGAGAAAAAAAGTGTAATGCTGTTCAATATTCGAAGAAGTTTTTGTTTTATCTGACAAGTTTAATCCTTCAACAAATTTGATTTAATAGAGTCATTGTTCTCGAACTGATTTTCTTTTGAAAAATGGCCTGAAAGATGTTCAACGGCCTTACTGAATTCATAAAACGATAATAAAACTGAAATGGTGATTTTTTCAGGTAAGGTTTTTTCTTCCGAAACATTTAAGCTGGAGTTTCGGAAAATATGTTTTCTAAACACTCAGATATCGGCAGCTTCTGTGTCATCCGGTCTGGATCGAAAAACCACCCTTATATGTATGTTATTCATATTACTAATAATCTTATGCTAAACGCCTAGACGGCTGCTCACTTGACCTTGATAGACAGAGTGGACGAACTCTAATTGAAATACGAAACAGAGTTGAATTAATGTTATCTGTCAACTATTCGTTTTATATCGCTCCGTTTTAGAAATAAGGTTTCTCGATCCATTCGGATTCAAGGATTAGAATATCATACCCTCCGGTATGACAGGGCGCAGCCAGCAGGATATTCCAAAAACCCACTGAATACTAACCCATTTTGGGAGAGAGCGTCGGCCGAACCACCACTAGAATGGACAAAGTGGGCAGGTATATTGGAGATGACTGTATTCGCAAAGGATGGGATCGAGATACGGAATTTATTGAGAGCCAGACCAACACTCGTCGAACACGCGATGCGCAATCAAGAGAAACGATTTGATTGGGAGAATCACGTCATAAAAGCACGGGAGAAAGGAGTACTTTGCAACTCATACAGATGGGACGAAGCAGGCGCAAGAGTCCAGAGTTACCTCTTTCTCTGTCTGGTAGCCGAGGGTCAAAAACAAGCTCAACAGAAATTACCTAAGAAGATATCTTGGTTACTAACAGAACTGTAGCGTTTGAGAGATATAATTTTATTTTCCGTAAACAAAAGAAGTCGGAAAGTCTGGAAAATTTTTATGCAGATCTCGTCGATTTAGCCTCACGGGCTGATTGTGGAAACAGAGAAGATGAATGGGTTAGGGACATGTTTACAGCACCCATGCACAACGAAAAAATCGCAGAAGATTTGTTAGCACAAACACGGACCCCACAAGATGCATTCGAGTAAGAGTAAAGGAATTGAACATAGTCGTACTATGAAAATAAACCCATTCGGGGGACAAACTACACCAAAACAAGAACCAATACATTATATAAACACTCGGGGTGGTCGATATAATTCTGCGAATAACCAAAACTCACAAAGAGGTCGAGGCGGTTTCCGCGGAGGACCATATCTGCGCGGATCACAAAACACAAGAGGACAACAAAAAATAACATTTTAAATAATTCAAAACAATGTTACAAATGCGGAAACATATACAATCAGAATCACCTGCAATCTTGCCCGGCGAAAGATAAAATTTGTTCAAAATGTGCGAAACGAAGTCGTTTTGCAAATTTTTGCAGATCTACAAACGTTAATTATTTAGGAACCCGGCAGGACGAAGAACAGGAAGAAATAGAAACAGAAAGCCTTGAAACCGAAAGCGATCTGGTGGCTTTTGCCGAGTTTACATCAAATAACAAATGGGATGAATATCAAATAGACAAATTCTCGGTTATGGCAATCGCTGAATCATTTGAGATCAAAAATACAAATCTCCTCTCGGAAGATGATCTGTATGACCATATTGTGAAACTAAAAACAAATTCAGAAGAATTCTTCGCTATCGCTGACTCAGTACGTCCAACGTCGTTTTTGAATGAAAAAACCGCATGACGCATTCAACAAAACGATAGATCAGCATTATTCAAGTGTATCCCACAGACGACACAGCAAGAAACCTGGCTTGTTATAGTGGTGAAACAACAAACCCGAAAGGACGATTGATTTTAACAATCAAATCACGAGGCTGGAAAATTCAATCAGCTCCGTTCATCATTGTTGATGATCAAAAAGCCAATATCATTGGACGCAACATTCTACCACAAATCGGTGTCAAGTTAATACAAGAAAAACACAAACAAAATGTATTGAATTTACGCGAACAAGAAGAATCGGATCCGTAAATTAAACAATGGGTCAAAGATATTTTCCAACAACTATGCATACATATTGGAAACTCAAAAAATTACATGATGAAAACTCAATTCAGTCAAGATTTCATGCCAATACAACAGAAAGGTCGACATATTCCGGTATACTTATAGGATAGATTTGAAGGGGAACTAAGCCAATTGATGGATCAAAATCAAATCATCAAACTAGATAAATGCTCGGACCGACAATTTATTAGTCCAATTGTAATCACAGTAAAAAAGGATCAAACAGTCAAAATCGCGTTAGATTCTAAGAAAATCAAAAAATTCATCCAGAAAAACAAATCTCAAATGCCTAACATTGAACTATTTTTGGAAAATATCGCGGAGATGGTAAAATCAGACAAATCCAAACAAACACTTTTCTCAACACTCGACCTTCGTTACGCATATTTACAAATCCAGTTGGATAAAACAACCAAAGACTAATGCAGCTTTAGGCTTATTGGGGGTATCGCTACTGAAACTTATCAATTCCAAACAGGGTTTTATGGCCTGACGGATATGCCAGCTGAATTTCAAAAAAGCGATCGACTTAATTTTTACAAATTTCACGAACACTTACGGTTATTAGAACGATATTTTAATTGTCACGAAAGGATCGTTGGATACACACAAACAAAAGTTGCAATCAGTTCTGAAAAAATTAGACGAGGAAAATTTGGCGATATCATCGGATAAATGTAACTTTCCATGCAGACAAGTTGAGTGGCTAGGATTTACTGTTAATAGTGAGGGAACAAAATCATTTTTTCTCAAAAAGACTGAGGCTATTTAAAGACTATCACCACCAAAAGCTTTTAAACAATTAAAAAATTTTATGGGTTCCATACATCAACTCACACTGTACATCTCAAAATTGGCATAAAACCGCTGCTGCATTACGCCCATTCCTAAAAAGACAGAGAATAACATATCACTTGAATGGTCCACAGAAAATAACACAATTTTTAAAAACATACTAAAAATGGTATCGGAGAAAACAAAAAACAAACACTTTGATCAACATCTCGATACTCGCATCTTATGCGATGCTTCAACTACGGGAGTAGGAGCTGCGCTTGAACAATTTTCACCAGAATGCTGGGTTGCCTGAGCGTATGCATCAAGTTTTCTGAACTCATAAGAGGAAAATATTCTTTTAATGAACTTGAACTTTTAGGGGTCGTGTGGGCAATCGAACATTTAAAATACTATTTATATGGTAAACATTTTACCGTCATCGCTGATCATCAAGCTTTAATCAGCGCTTTAAACGCAAGCGAACGATCAAAAACAAGTCAAAGCCGGCTCACACATTGGATTGACCGATTATTCCCTTTAACTTTGATATCAAACATCCTGCTATTAAACCAGTCAACTTTGATATTAAACCAGTCAACTCTCTACCGATCCAAACGATCTCAATACCAAACAAACAGAAAATGTTTTGTCTATAAAATTTCATTTTAAGGACAAAACAACGCAGCGATCAGCCGTAAAGATACCAGAGGATTTAAAGGAGGATTCATCCCAACGGAGCTTCAATCATCAGAGACAAGAGGACGAAACGAATCAACGGAAAACTGGCAGGGCTCATCAAATAGGGAAGAAAGCCTTTCGGACCCCAGATGGCATAAAAGATCTCCCATCAAGGGAAAGAAAGGATAACCTGAAGTACAAAATTCATCACAGCAAGAGCACACCAAACAAACAGCTACGCCCGTACGGGACGCCAGAGAGGCACTATCGGCTAAGGAGATCAATATCAGTAAAAAGTCAAATATCCCGAAGATCACCTTCACAACTACGAATACATCCGGAAACAGAACGGATCGGATCACTTCAGACTACAACATGAAAGCGACATCGACCCAAACACAATCGACTAATACAGCAGCAACTACACAAACATTTACATCCGAACCACGAAATACAACAACTTCTACACAAACACCCAAAAAAAGCACAGTCACGGATATCTGTGTCAGCCGTGTAGACTCGAACATCTGCGTACAAGAAGTACAGACACACAACATCGAACCACCAATAATGGGTTCCACGACGATGGAAACCAGTCACGAAATGATAACAGAAGAACTGGTCGCCACGGCGGAGAAAGCTACAAATACGGTGGAATCTGAGGAGGACACGCCATTGTTTAGACAAAGACTACAGCGAGTATTGGGCGTTCGATTCATCGCCGCAGCCACCAGGAAAGATCGAAATCTTCGCGCTCTACTCAACTTTGTCAAAAAGAGGGATTGTGAAGCAATCAAGACTTCCTACGGCCAGTACTGGTACAACATTAGAAACAGATTCCATGTCAGAGAGGTTTGCTTACTCATTTACGAAAGAATAGTCATCCCTACACTGTTGAGACAGACAGTGCTCAATAGTCTGCATCTGACACACCCAGGATCGGCAGCGATGCTGGACCTCAGTAACCATGTATGGTTTCCTCACATACATCGGGCAATAGTGCAGATGGCACAAAACTGCAAACACTGCACCGGGCAAGGTAAACATTTGAAACCCATCATCGGAAAAAAAACATTCATCCAAATAGAACCAGTAGTTGAACCAAATGAGGAAGTACAATTAGATTTTGCAGGGCCTTTTCTGGATGAACTAAATAGAGACGCATGTATTCCAGTCGCAATAGATAAGTGGTCACAATTTCCAATTGCAAAAGTTGTTACAAACACACTAGCGGATATTTCCATTTAATTTATGCAACGATACATTTCAAATAAAGGCTACCCCGAAAGATAAGATGTGGTCAAGCACAAACATTTAGAGTTGAAAAATTTCAACTGTTCTGTCATACAAACAATATTAACTTATTATTTGCACCGGTGGTTGATCATAGAGCAATAGGGGTAGTTGAGAGAATGAGACAAACTTGGAGCGTAGATTAGCGGTCATGAGAATTGACAAAACAAATACACCATACAAACTCGCCTCAGATGTAGCAGAAATTATCAAAACACTGCATAGCGTAACAAAAATTTCATCATTTGAGGCCCACATGGGACTTACACCACACACACCTTTCTCAAACGTAGCAACTAGTAGTTCCCCTAACAATTTGAATTGGGAGAATGCAAAACATGCATGTTTAGATCGCAAGAATCTTACAAAGCCGCCCCTACCCGCTGAAGCAATGCACAACAAACAACGATGGTCGGAAGATGAAGTAAATATCAACAAAAGAAATAAAAAACTCCAAATACCGCGGGACTTGACAAACTCAGACTTAACAACACAACAGAAAGACAGGTGCAAAAACTAAAGCTATAGAAATAGTAAAGGATTAATTGAACGTAAGGTAAAAGAGATTACAAACAATTCCTAACTAACTAATAATATTTCATCTCTAACATTTACACTTAAAGACAGTACATATTTACTAATTTTTGTTTTGATCGGCGCTTATTTGTACGCAAAATTACTACTCATTTGAACACTTTCAAGAGCTTTTGAGTTAACTATGAAGCTGTGATTAAAAAACGTGCGGCTAATGTTGTTCAATAACGAATGATTGTCATTATACAACACACCAATTTGAAAACTCTCAATAAGATTTTCCACCGCCAGCTGAAGATTTCTCCTTGTCCAATAAGTCCAGACCAAAATTGTTTCAGTAGACTGCGGTGTTGCTAGCTGAGAAAGAGTCGTTGAAAATTCGGATGGAAAATCTGGAAGTGCAGCTACGACAATCGAGAGAATCTGGAAACTCCGCGAAAGAAATTACAAGGTAAATTAAAAACCAGTTGTAACCACTTCAAATTTCTTAAACTAAATATTGAAAAACGAGACAGGTCAAAATGCTGTTTTTGGGCTTTTTTTGAAATTTTCACACCAAAAATCTTGTTTTTTTTGGGCGTGTGCGCTCCTCGAAATTATTATGAGTTGTTCTCAAGGCTGTACAGCAGTTTTTTGGGATTTTTGAAAAAAATGCTTGTCTCAAAATAGAAGCAATTTGAAAATAGAAGCTTAGGGAAGAGCTAAAACTGATAAAACTGGGGAAGGCTAAAACATCAAGATCGATTTGCTGACATATCGAGCTTAGAGATATCTGAGCATAGTCTAATTCGGATTTTTTTTCATGCTTCTCAAAACACGACTAACCATTCTCTATAAGTTTCACTGTCTTTTTAGATCTCATCGCACAAGCATCTAAGACAAACAAAAACAATTTAAAAATGTTTAAAAAAAAACTCTTTTTTTTTTGTAGAAATTTCAAAAACTCGTATAAACAAATCGCAGTATAATTGAAAAGCAGTAAAATTTACCCCCAAACAGCAGTAAGTTCTCCAAACAACCCCCAAAGCAGTAAAATTCACCCGCAAACAGCAGCAAATTCCCCAAACAATCCTCAATGCAATTAACTTCTTTTTACCAAGCAGTAAATTCAAAAACTAAACTTAACAAAAGCAGTAAAATTATGATTTCAATGTAGTAAATTGCAGATAAATTAAAAGAGTACTATTCCTTTTACATGTCGCTTCTTTCATACGTTTGAACCATTCACTCGCTTATAAAACTCTTTCCACAATCGCACAGCTCGCCCACGAAGGTTGTTTAAAAAATGAGTTTTAAGTTTTAACTTTCAATGATATTAACTTTAACTAGTTTTCACACGGTTCAAGCTTCCCTTTAACCCTATTGGAAGGATATTTGTAGGAATAACCAACGCAGCTAAAATAAAACTCAAAAATAACCACCGCAGCTTACTAACGTCACAATACCACAAAATAATAGCAGGACTAAGAAAGGAAAACCAACGGTACCCAGACCAGATTAAAACCAGAATAAAAATGGATAAACTATTCTTTTGAAGACCACTTTCAGGTCTTACCAAAAGCGAGTAAAACCCAAAAAACTCGAAAAATAAACCAAAACGAAAAGAATTGATTTTTGAGAAAAGGACACAACCAAAACAAAAAAGAGAAAAACGAATCATAAAAAGGAAACAAAAAGAGACTTTATACAAAGAGACCAGAAAATTATACCCTACGCCTGGTCTAGTTCACCAGAGGAACGTCCTGAGCATGCTCTATGGCCAGCCTAACCAACCGTGCTACACGCACGCTTTGTGACCCATACTCTTTTTTTTGACAATAGTTACTCAATGGTGAGCGACTCTTAAAAATAACTGAATTAATATAAAAAAGTTTTTGCGATGACCATTAAAAATAAATCATAACTAAAATAACTTTAACAAAGAAGTTTATATGTTTAAACTGTAAATGCAGTATAGATTTCGTAAAGCCGCAGAGACGAGCAGCAAAGAAGTTGACAACCCAAACACATTCCAACTATGGAATGGCAAAACTACTCGATTTGCTGCCTACAGTCACTACACTAAAAGGAATTAAAGTACGGACTCAACATCGCAGCAATTGAAACCCATTGAATCAAATCAATGGCCATCTCGATATTGATTACACATACAGATTCTAGTCACTTGGCACTTTACGCGAAAAAGTCAAACTTCACGCTACACCTAGTCTCGCCCTCAACTTAACAAAATCGATACCTCATTGCATCGATCAGAAGTCTTGACATCATCTCCCAAAAATACCACGATCAACGAAACCCATCTAGAAATACGAACATGAGAATCTTCATCCGTCCAACGCAAACGGCCACACTTCTTCCTTCCCCAAAAAGCCAATGCTCACAACTTCAAAAAAAAAACTAACATCCTCCAACCTTCACTACATTAAACATTTGAAAACCAAAAAAACTCTCTAAACCCCAGATGGGTGGAACCAGTTCTAAGCAATAATTTAATTTTGGTTATAAAGTTGATTCTCTATTTCTATAAAATATTCCTAACTAACTAATCAAATTTCATCTCTAACATTTGCACTTATTTGTAAGTGATCAAACTACTCGTAGTTTCAGCACCAGAACTATTTGAAGTAAACTTAGAATACAGTTGTTCTCCTTCTGGAAACTAACTCGCATAAACCAGTATACACTAGATCTTTTGAGACTAGGAGATATATGAGTAAGACTAATACCGGTATTAGACTAAGAATTTGCGCGAATCTATCCGGCCGAAAATAAGATAGCGTGACGAGCAGATGATGTACCTTATCCGAAATAACTCTATGAGTATAGTCAAAAGGAACTAACTCAAAAGACCAGACTGAACCGTCCCCCCAAAAAAATAAATATGTGAGCTGTAACTCTAATTTTAGATTGATTGCTTCAAAGATATTTTATGTAAAGACAGTACATGTTTACTAATTTTTGTTTTGGTCGGCGCTTATTTGTACGCAAAATTACTACTCATTTGAACACTTTCAAGAGCTTTCGAGTTAACTATGAAGCTGTGATTAAAAAACGTGCGGCTAATGTTGTTCAATAATGAATGATTCTCATTATACAACACACCAATTTGAAAACTCTCATTAAGATTTTCCACCGCCAGCTGAAGATTTCTCCTTGTCTAATAAGTCCAGACCAAAATTGCTTCAGGAAAACGCGGCGTTGCGAGCCCAGAAAGTGTCATTGAAAATTCGGATGGAAAGTCAGGAAGTGCAGCTACGACAAGCGGGAGAATCTGGACGCAACTCGGCGAAAGAAATTACGAGGTAATTTAAAAACCAGTTGTACACACTTCAGGTTTTTAAAACTAATTATTGAAAAACGAAACAGGTCAAAAATACCGTTTTCGAGCACTTTATGAAATTTTCGCACCAAGGCTGTCCAGCAGTTTTTTCGGGGTTGTTGGAAAAAATGCTTGTCTCAAAATAGAAGCAATTTGAAAATAGATGCTTATGGGAGGGCTAAAACTGCTAAAACTGGAGAGGGCTAAAAGATCAAGATCGATTTGCTGACATATCGAGCTTAGAGATATCTGAGCATAATCTAATTCGGATTTTTTTCATGCTTCTCAAATTTAGGTAGTTACTATCAAATTATAATTTTCAATAATGGAGCCAGCAATTGCTTTTCAATAGTAATATCTTTAAAAGGATATTATTTCGAAGAAAAATTTTCTTCGGTTTTTCAGTTTTCCAAATTATTTCATTTCGGTAGCTGCATATAAGCTTTTTTGCTTCTGTCCGCTAAAATTATACGTGTTTATCAGTTATTTTTAAATTACCTTTAAAAATTATTTCCGGTAAGTTTCATAGAAAAAAGGTTTTTTGTTAATTTGTTTTATCAATTAAAAAAACAATGTTTTTTTCTTTTTGTATCGCAAAAATGAGTCCCAGCAAGTGAGCCACATCAAATGAGTCACAATTCAGCCTGGTTCTACAACCTTTTGAAAATTCTCCTTCGCAATAAAATCCGAAATCATGCGTAACGAATCTCAGTGCACAATTTTAAGAATCTATTTGAACACGCAAAATTTACAAGGTGATAATTGGGTTCCTACAAAAAGCAAGTGAAGGAAATGGGACCTTTTTGTTCCCACAAAAGAACAAAAACGTGAGAAAACCTGCTGTAGAGTGATATCATCCTTGTTCATCTTGAACTCCTGCTCACTCTTGAAGCCCTGCAGGTCACTCTTTGCTCTATGCAGTTCCCTCTTCATTGGCTTGTACTTGCCCTCCAACAGCATGTTCAACCTACACAAAAAATTTTGTTGGTACAAATATTACAGTTGAGTCCTTGAAGTATAGACGATTTCCCTGAGAAACAATTATCAGCCTTAGAATCTTCGGACGCAGCGTCTAGATTTGATTTCTCACGTTTTTGTTCTTTTGCGGGAACAGACAGGTCCCATTTCCTTCATTTGCTTTTTCTAGAAGGACTCAACTGTAATATTTGTACCAACAAAATTTTTGTGTAGGTTGAACATGCTGTTGGAGGGCAAGTACAAGTCAATGAAGAGTGACCTGCAGGGCTTCGAGAGTGAGCAGGAGTTCAAGATCAAGAAGGATGATATCACTCTACAGTAGGTAGAGCTCTACAAAAAAAAAGAAACAAATTTGTATGAAGTCCGGGTGATTTTGTCCACGTGATTTTGTGAATTCTACGTGAACCTATTCAGAAATAAAAAAAAATTGAGTGTTTAAAGTCCAAATGATTTTCTGCGAGTTTGTTTCTTCGAAAAATTGATCGATTCAATGCTCAGAAATTTTTATAGTAACCATGACTGATTTCGAAACATTTTTTTCCTAATATAACTTTCACAAAGTCAATAACACTTTATCATAAAATGAATACTTTTTTAAAGTTTCAATGAACGTAGCAAAGATACTTATATGTGCTGGGTGGCATTGAAAACGCATCGGCAAAAAAGGATCATCAACTTTCCTCGAAGTAAGATTGGTTGAAAAGTTTGTGATATTTTGTGAAACGACGCATTTGAAGCAAACATGATTATATTTCAGCAACTTTTTTGCATTTGATTTGTTACTAAATTACAGTTTTTTTGTACGTTTAAAATTGTTCCTGAAGTTAACTTAAAATTTGCGATATTCATTCAAAGAAAAAAATTTTGTCTTCAACTCAATTCAGATTTTTGACGTCAAATATTTTCTTTTTGCGACTTTGACTGAAACAAGGTTGAAACTTTTATTTTGTGATTTAAACTAGTTAAAACATCACCCATTTTTGCGGTCATGGTTTTGATTTTTCAATGAGTATTTCAATGATTTTTCAATTTGCGTCAATGAGCATACTGAGGACACTTATTTTGATCTAGGTCGTGATGACATTTTTTCATTTTTTTATGAGATAAAAAAATAACTAGTTCATGCTCAAATTTGATTTTTCGGAATTTGACTCATGTTTTTTTTCTAATTCAACTCCTTGTTTCTTGTTCGAAAAACAAAACAAAAAGTTCACAAAAATCGCAATATAAATTCAAATTTCTTTCTATAAATTCAAATATATTTGTTAAGTTCAAAAGTTAAATTTTTTCAAAAACTTTTCTGGTTCCTTGTTTTCTGGCCAGTTTTATTTTTCTGGTTCTTTGCTTTCAACGACAAATTTCGGCACGAGTGTTCTCTGTTTTCACACATGCGTAGAGTAGTGTGATACTACAAGGATTCGTTTTGTTTTTCTAACCTAAGTCTCAAATAATGGTGCTACCATTGAAGGAAATTTTGAATTAGGAAACTGAATTGTATATTTAGAGGCATTTGATCACTAATAAGTTAACACAGTTGATGCATGTTTATTTTATCAAGTGAAACCGAAGAAAACTATTTGTCTCATACAACGGTACGTTGCAAACTTTTTTTTTCAAAATATTTTACAGCTCCGTTTATTTCGTAAAATTTTTGAAATGCATTAGTTAAACACAAACTGGTTTCATGATTGCCAATTTTTTTACCTGCAAAGTTAGCTTGGTTGCCTTTGCCTTTTATTCAAAGCTACTACAAGCATTTATTTTTGTGCATTTTGATTTTTTTGCTCGTTTTTGCTTGTCTATGGTATCTACATTCGTCAAGGGCACAATTGTGTTGGGCATTCAACTGGAAAACTTGATATTTGAGAACTGAGGTTTCATTCCTGTAGTTGTTATTTATCTTTCAATTTTCATTACTTTTCCTTTTTCTTTTTTAACTCTTTACCTCTTTTTTGAAGATACGCGGTAAAACTTTTTCTTTTGTTAGCTAAGTGCAGTTTTAGCTCAGTGTTTAAATTCAAATCAACTATATTTGGTAAGGGAAGATAAATTCTGCTTTCTTATAACAAAAGACTTATTGATACGTACAAATCCAAAGGGGCGTAGTTTCAAAAACTGATTTGAATATATATTGTTCCTGTTTTCCCAAATTACGTTATTATTATGAAAAAAACGGCATCATATTTAATTTTGAAAATTCAAAAATCTCTCAGGCAATATTATTGGTAATAAGAAGTTAAATTTTCAAAAAAAATCGTTGGGTTCAAATCATGGGTTTATTTTGATGATATTTTTGGTCTCCTTGCGATGGTTTCCAACTGTCCTGTCTATAATTTTTTAATGTGTCAAATCCGAGAGCCTTTTTCACAAACTTTTGATTTGCTGTCTGATAACTTTAAAAACATATGGCATGTTTCTAGTTTGATTGGTTACCGGGAGCATTGGCATTTCAGAGAACTTCACCGAGAGCAATGGCATTTCAGGGAACTTCGCCGGGAGCTTGAAAGCACAAAAGAACAACTTCAGGTCATATTGAGGGAAAAATCCGAATTAGATTACATGAGAAGCGAAAGTGAACGAAAGTCACATGGCTTGAAAGACGACTTGAAACGAGCTCAATGGGAGCCAAACACGATGGAGAAAGAGCTAAACACAATGGAGAAAGAGCTAAATACAATGGAAAAACACGTGAACGAACTTGAATTTGTTCGAGAAGAACGAGACTTGAAATTTGAACGAGAGTTGGAGAAAAAAAAGGAGCAAATTTCAGATTTGAAAGCAGAATTAGAACGATCCAACGACAATCGTGAACTTTTGAAAAATAGCTCAAGCAGGTATTCAAAGTTAAAGTTTCAAAAAAATCATGGCATCAAAAAATTGTTGGGTTCCAATCATGGGGTTCATTTTGATGATATTTTTGGTCTCCTTGCAATGGTTGAAATTTTTCAACAACTCTGTTCTTTTTATGTTTTTCTTCTTAATGTGTCGAATTTTGGAGCTTTTTTTCCCAAACTTTTGATTTCTGTCTGATAACTTTGACAACATAACATGGTTCTAGTTTGATTGTTTACCGGGAGCATTGTCATTTCAGAGAACTTCACCGGGAGCTTGAAAGCACAAAAAAACGACTACAGATCATTTTGAGAGAAAAATCCGATTTAGAGTACATGAAAAACGAAAGTGAACGAAAGTCACATGGCTTAGAAGACGACTTGAAACGAGCTCAACAGGAGCTAAACACGATGGAGAAAGAGCTAAACACAATGAAGAAATACGTGAACAAACATGATATTGTTCGAGATGAAAGAGACTTCAAATTTGAACGAGAGTTGAAGAAAAAAGAGGAGCAAATTTCAGATTTGAAAGCAGAATTAGAACATTCCATCGACAATCGTGAAGTTTTTAAAAATAGCTCAAGCAGGTATTCAAAGTTAAAGTTTCAAAAAAAGTATGGCATCAAAAAAATTGTTGGGTTCCAATCATGGGGTTCATTTTGATGATATTTTTGGTCTCCTTGCAATGGTTGAATTTTTTCAACAACTATGTTTTGTCTATGTTTTTCTTTTTAATGTGTCGAATTTGAGAGCCTTTTTTCTCAAACTTTTGATTTCTGTCTGATAACTTTGACAACATGTCATGGTTCTAGTTTGATTGTTTACCGGGAGCATTGTCATTTCAGAGAACTTCACCGGGAGCTTGAAAGCACAAAAAAACGACTACAGATCATTTTGAGAGAAAAATCCGATTTAGAGTACATGAAAAACGAAAGTGAACGAAAGTCACATGGCTTAGAAGACGACTTGAAACGAGCTCAACAGGAGCTAAACACTATGGAGAAAGAGCTAAACACAATGAAGAAAGAGCTAAATACAATGGAAAAACACGTGAACGAACTTGAATTTGTTCGAGAAGAACGAGACTTGAAATTTGAACGAGAGTTGGAGAAAAAAGAGGAGCAAATTTCAGATTTGAAAGCAGAATTAGAACATTCCAACGACAATCGTGAAGTTTTGAAAAATAGCTCAAGCAGGTATTCAAAGTTAAAGTTTCAAAAAAATCATGGCATCAAAAAAATTGTTGGGTTCCAATCATGGGGTTCATTTTGATGATATTTTTGGTCTTCTTGAAATGGTTGAATTTTTTCAACAACTCTGTTCTTTTTATGTTTTTCTTCTTAATGTGTCGAATTTGAGAGCCTTTTTTCCCAAACTTTTGATTTCTGTCTGATAACTTTGACAACATGTCATGGTTCTACTTTGATTGTTTACCGGGAGCATTGTCATTTCAGAGAACTTCACCGGGAGCTTGAAAGCACAAAAAAACGACTAGAGATCATTTTGAGAGAAAAATCCGATTTAGAGTACATGAAAAACGAAAGTGAACGAAAGTCACATGGCTTAGAAGACGACTTGAAACGAGCTCAACAGGAGCTAAACACTATGGAGAAAGAGCTAAACACAATGAAGAATTACGTGAACAAACATGATATTGTTCGAGATGAAAGAGACTTGAAATTTGAAAGAGAGTTGAAGAAAAAAGAGGTTCAAATTTCAGATTTGAAAGCAGATTTACAACATTCCATCGACAATCGTGAAGATCTGAAAAATAGCTCAAGCAGGTATTCAAAATTTTAAGTTTCAAAAAAACTATGGCATCAAAAAATTTGTTGGGTTCAAATCATGGGGTTCATTTTGATGATATTTTTGGTCTCCTGCAATGGTTGAATTTTTCCCTCTATGTTCTAACTATATTTTTTTCTCAATGTGTCAAATTTGAGAGCCTTTTTCCCAAACTTTTGATTTGCTGTCTGATAACTTCGACAACATGTCATGGTTCTAGTTTGATTATTTACCGGGAGCATTGTCATTTCAGAGAACTTCACCGGGAGCTTGAAAGCACAAAAAAACGACTTCAGGTCATTTTGAGGGAAAAATCCGAATTAGAGTACATGAAAAACGAAAGTGAACGAAAGTCACATGGCTTAGAGGACGACTTGAAACGAGCTCAACAGGAGCTAAACACGATGGAGAAAGAGCTAAACACAAGACGAGATGAACGAGACTTGAATTTTGAACGAGAGTTGACGAAAAAAGAGGGCCAAATTTCAGTTTTGAAAGCAGAGTTAGAACAATCCATCGACAGAAACTCGCAAAGATTCTTGGATCTTAAAAACGGCTTCAAAATAAAAGAAAGAGAATTGTACGAAGAACTGAGCCGAGTTAAAGAGCAGTATTCGAAAAGCAATGACTCGGTAGTCCGTGAATTTCAGCGAAAATTCGTCGAAAAAGAAACGGAATGCAACAACTTGATGAGAAGGTTGCAGAAACTTGAAATAGATTTCGGAAAAGAGCAACAGCTATCGTTTTCGAAATTGGAGAAGTTAGAAAGTGAGAGAGAGTATTGGAGAAAAAAACTCGAACATGAACAAAATAGCCAGCGAGGAAAAATCGATGAAATGAAAAACTCAAAAGATAGAGAAATTTCAGTTTTGAAAGCAGAGTTAGAACAATCCATCGACAGAAACTCGCAAAGATTCTTGGATCTCAAAAACGGCTTCAAAATAAAAGAAAGAGAATTGTTCGAAGAGCTGAGCCGAGTTAAAGAGCAGTATTCGAAAAACAACGACTCTGTAGTCCGTGAATTTCAGCGAAAATTCGTCGAAAAAGAAACGGAATGCAACAATCTGACGAGAAGCTTGCAGAAACTTGAAAAAGATTTCGGAAAAGAACAACAGCTATCGTTTTCGAAATTGGAGAAGTTAGAAAGTGATAAAGAGTATTGGATAAAAAAACTCGAACATGAACAAAATAGCCAGCGAGGAAAAATCGATGAAATGAAAAACTCAAAGGATAGAAAAATTTCAGACCTCCGAACTCGAATGCTAAACATTGAACAGAAAATTAATGAAAAAATTAGACATTTGAAAGACGAGTCAGAAAAAAGTCGAACAACGAGTGACTCTCAAGTTCAAAAACTTTCCAATCAGTTGAGGGAAAACGCATTCAAATTTTCACAGGAGAAACATCTTGTGAGTCAAAAACTTGAAAAAACGTCTGATGATTTGGCGCGGACAAAAGATCAGCCAAGCTCGGTAAAAATTCACTTTGGAAAGGAAGAATTAATCATTAAAGAAGACAACAAACAAAGTCAGTTTGCCGAAATTAATGAACTGAAAACTCAGTTTTCGAATGAGAAATCGGATTTCTTGAGAAAAGTACAACTTGCGGATGAAAAACTCTCTACGCAGTTAAAAGAGTTTGACGCTCTTAAACAGGAACCGGGAAAATTATCAGAGCTGGAAAAAGAAAATAAATCGTTGAAAGCCGAAAGAAGACCTCAATCAGGTGAAAAATATTTGAAATGTCCCACGTTTTGCCCCACACACATTTTGCCCATCTCAAATCTACTGGCCAAAAATGAATAGCTTTGAAACTTTTTGCCCAAACTTAAAAGTTCGTTGCTTGCAGAAAATCATTAGTGAAGACGTCACTTTTACAATTCAGGTCGTTTCCAATGCCTTGTCAATGACAGACGATCAACCCTTTGGGAACTCTAGTTTTGAGTTCACCATGGTTTTAGTCATTTGTGTTCGGTCACGAACACATCCCAAAAATTTCGAGAAAAAAAAATTATACAAAAATCAATTTTTTGGTTTATGAAAAATGCTTGTCCTACAATTTTCATATATGAAAAAATGCTTATCTTAGAGTTCTCTTAACGTTTTCTGTATCTATGGAATTGTACGAAATTGCATGATAAGCATTTTTTCATAATTGAAATTTGTAGGACATGCATTTTTGGTCAACCCGGGGGCACACATTTCGCCCCTCACACATTTCGCCCCTAATAAATTCACACCTTTCGTCCTCGCACATTTTGCCCCTAACTTTTTACTCAGTTAGATAACGCCGCTTTCTTTTTGTACATTTTAGGTGCGAAATGTGCCAGTAAATTATTGGGGGCAAATGTGTGTGGGACGAAATGTGCCACTAGAATTAAAAGGGGCGAAACGTGTGAGGGGCGAAACGAGTGAGGGGCGAAACGTGTGAATACCCAATATTTGAATGAAGGCCAAACAACCCACACAAATGAAATAGAGAGAGTTAATAAACTAATGGCGTTCAATAAAGCCTCGCACTGATTATTGTTCCGACTTCCGTAACGAAAAGAAACGTAATGTTTGTGCTGGGGGTGGTTTTTTTCTTCCGTCCCGAGCACAAGAAGGTTTTGTTGTCCGCGGGCTTAAACTTGAAAAGAAGTATTTCACCTGTGGTTATTTTTCGCAAGGTTATGAGGTTTTAAATACTGCCATTTTGGCCAACTTGGGACCCTGGCTTATCCTCCTTAGACCAAAAATGCTCCCCCCCCCCGTTTTGTGTATAACAAATGCAATTCAGAATTCGCTATCTTGTCAAATTTTTTTTCAACACGCATAGGCGCCAGGATGCGAAAACAATGGTGAATTAAAGTGTGCGAATACTTTCTCTGTTCTTCATTCAACCTGATTATAATTTTTAAGTCTTTCCACAAAATTGAAATGTGCGGCACTGACCGTTGGTGCGTAATTTGCCTACAGTCACTTAAACCCCTCAGTATTCTCGTGTCCGTCGATAGCGTTACTTGAAGCAGAGGATTAATGCCTGCCGGAGTCGAACTTTTTCACCTAATTTGAAACAAGATTTGAGCGGTTCGAGCGGTTTTTCTTAGAAAATTACGCTCAAAATCTTGCTTCAAAATGAGCGGTTCGAGCCGTTTTTGAACAGTTTATCTAAAAAAACCGCTCAAAAACCGCACAAGATTTGAACGGTGTTTGAGCGGTTTATCTAAAAATATGGAAATTGTATGATAAACAAACAATAGACGTAGTTATTTTTTATCACCAGCCTGTTGTATTTGGTTCAAATAGCCGGAGAAACTAGATTGAATCTTTTTCAATGGTTTTTTGAAATTGTATGAAAATTTTATGATAAGCATTTTCCCATACATTTGATGCAGGCAATTGTATCAAATGTATGATACAAATGTTTGATGCAGGCAAGCTTTTTCGGTGTGGGGAAATTTAAGATAAGCATTTTCGGTTTATGGAGGTCAACCCGGTGTCACATTACCTTTCCAGGCCTTTTTGTTGGTTTTAATCGGTTTTCTTTATAAGACCGCTCAAAAACTGCTTTAAAACCGCTAACATCTTGCTTGAGAAACCGTTCAAAAATCACTGCAAGAAATGAGCGGTTTTTGAGCGGTTTTTTAAGCAAAATTTGAACGGTTTGAGCGGTTTTTCCAAAAAAAAAACACCCAAACGGCCCAAACCGCCCAAACGGCTCAAACCGCCCAAATCTTGCTGAAAAACTTCTCAAACTGCTCATATCTTGAGCGGTTTTTGAGCGGGATCTCGACCCGGGAGTATTGGGTATTCACTGAAGATCGTTTCAGCTTGCTATTGGGATACCGAGCTTCGTTAATGTGTGGATGCACTAGGGCGCGAGAAAGCTGCTTTTTAAGACTCATCTTTTCAGCTGAAGAGGGGAAATTTTCAAAGTTCTGGTAGATAAGCATTTAATTCAGAAATTTACGATTAAGTAAAGCAATGGTTGTGAGCGCGGATCTTCCAGGGTTGACAAAAGATGGTTATCATACTCTTCCCTACAATTTCATAGAGTAAAAGTGTATGTATGAAAATAGCAAAATAAGCTTTTTTCCATATATGAAGTTGTATGATAAGCATTTTTTCCATACTATGAAATTGTATGATAAGCAATTTTCCATACTATGAAATTGTATGATAAGCATTTTTTCCATAGATGAAAACACAAAAAAAAATTTGTTTCGAAATTGCCTGTTTCAACCGAAACACTAACCAAGGATTTTTGACATGAGAAAACCCAGTGTAACTAGCATTTGATGATTTTCGCCACAAAATTAATTTTTACTTTTTCACATGGAAATTTCTACCGAAAAAGTAACTTTTTCAATATGGCTAGATAATTTTTAGTTTGAAATTTTGATGGTTGAAAAAAGGCCTGTTTTTTCACAAATATATCTTTCTTTTAGCAAACGAAACAAAAGATAATAATCGTGTTTACAAAAAAAATTACTTTCTTGTGATTTTTGGATTTTTTGGGTGAGAAACTCATCCTGGACTACGTTACAAACACAGAATTGTCAAATTCTGCTCGCAAATTTTTTTTCCGTAAAATTCATTTTTATTACAATAGCAAGTTTGCAGCCAAAAAAAGGGATAAAAAAATTTTACCTCAATTTTTTTTGTTTATTAATAAAATGCATATCATACAATTTTCATATAGGACAAAATGACTACTTTATAATTTTCATACTTAAAAATTGTATGATAAGCATTTTTTCCATAGATTTCATATATGAAGCTGTATGATAAGCATTTTTCTTCTATGGACGTCAACCCGGGTTTTTACTTATTCCGCCCAAATTTCTTATTTTTGCGATTTTGTATTATTCAATGTATAAGGATTTTCAAAAAAAATTTGAGAATTTTGAACAACCTCTTTTTTTAAGTCGACGAAAATGATTTTCCGAGCTCTCCTAAAGCCCAAAAAAGACGCTGTTTTGGCTAAATTTTCTCCGAAGGGTGGACGCTTTGGATCAGCATTGGGGCGTCCTCCTAAATCCGCCCCTGCAGTAAATTAGCACTACAGTTTGTACTGAGAATTCTAAATTTGCTGAATTCTGACTGATCAAAAATCGATCCTTTTGATCTACTTGAAAGGGTTGGAGATTGTTAAGTAGATCCAAAGTATTAAAGTAAAACGTATTTTTTCGGACCAAGTTAACATCCTCACCTCCAATTTCGTTGAATGCTATTCGTTAAATGCTAACGTGGTTCTGATTTTTAATTTTCAGCCAATCAGAATAGAGCATTTCATATGCAGCGCTAGATAGGTTTGAGTTAAAATTAACGCTGGGGTGGAGGATTTTAACTTGGGGAAGATGTTTACTTGATCCGATTTTTTTTCTAAATTTGATGCTTTTTGGGAACATCATCACCCCACACGCCATAAAAAGTACAAAATGATAGTTTTTGCTCCTAGTCTCAAAGCATTTCAACTGTGGCAAATAAACTTTCTTCAATGGGGCAGTACAACAGTGTCGAAAAATGAAATGTTGTTCAACAGTGCCGAAAATTAGTTTTAAAACTGTTTTTTTTGGTGCTTTTTTCATGAGCGAAGGACCAAATGGGCGAAAAACCCATTGGCGAAAAACTGACAACAAAAACAGTCGAAAGTAAATTATTAAATTAAAACAATTGCCCTTTAACTAAAAGGAATTAACTGACGCAACTTTTTACTTCTTTAATAACGAAACCCTTGAAATATAATTTCTTTTTCGAATCACCGGCGGTCATTGACAATTTGAAAGTTTTGCAAATTTCTGTTGTTTTCATATTCAACCGAAGTAATATTAAGTCCCTGGACATGTTTACTTTCTTGGAGATTTTCACGCTTTCGTTCCAAATTTTGAAATACCGAAATCTGATGGATTGATTCTTATTTTCGCCCGTTTGGTCTTTCGCCTATAAAGGATTCCACACCGTTTTTCTTCGTCCCGAAACACTGACAAGGGTCCCTCATGCTGGAGGAACGGAATACTTGAAATTTATTTTGGCTTATTCTCAGCCAATCAGAATTAATCATCCAAAAATCTCAAGGAAGTCGCGAAAAACTCGAAGTAAGCAAATAAATCCAGGCCATTAGTGTTATTATTGAACGATTACATAATAAGCATAAGAAAATTAATGCCGGATTGAAGGCGGATTGGAACTCTTGTTTTATTTCTAGGATACCGGTTTTTAAAAAACGGAAAAACAAAAAACTAATTTCATCAAACCTGCATCTATTATATCTGCATCTAGTATATTTACTATATTATTATCTCCTCTTATTAGTGACTTTGAAATTAGGGAGAAAAGCATTTAGCAAATAGGAACGGTTAGCAATTTTGATTGGCTGAAGTTTTCCAGCATTCGGTCCCTTCCGCAAGAGAACCCTTCCCACTGACAAGTAATTAATTCAAATCAAATGGATTGAAGTTGAAAAGACCTTTAGCCATTTTAATTGAGGTTGCGTGATAAACAAACAAAAGTTCCACCGCGCGTTGTCAGATATGGGAACCGGCCTATTTGCCTGTGTGCCGATTAGCATGCCCACTTAAAATAAAAAACGCATTGTGAAGATTGGTTTTTCAAGTTTTCTTCATTCAAATTTGCAATTTTTATTCAGAGTGCACTTAGGCGAAATTTTAATAAGGAGAAAGTTAAATTTTTCATTACCTAACAAACAAAGTTGTTTTCGAGACTATTTGAAAACTTAGGCTA